GACAGCTGAAGCGTCGAGCGCACACGTACACGGCTGCTCGCCTGTGTGCGTATCTCCTCCACTTGCTGCAACGTGCTGTAAGAGAGTCAAAACTGAACATACTGCTCTGGACGCTGGCGGATCTGCCTGGTCGTGTCGTCACAATGGAAGTGTAATCTGACGGGACAAGAATTGACCACAGAAAGTGAGCATCTGGTGTCCTCGGGGGCTGTGGGCTTTCGCGCCGGAGCGGGTGGTGGGGCTTAAGGTCGCGGGCGGTGGTCATCCGCTCAGGGATGGGCCCGTCTGTGACCAACTAAGAGGAACTCCCCAAGTTAAGGTGTGAGCGACCGTGCCGAGAGCTGCGTGGCGCAAGGGGAGTTGCGTCGTAAACGGTGCCTCCTGGATACCAGGCGAAATCCAGGAGTACGGAACCAAGCTCCAGCCATTTGCGGCTCTGGCTGGGTGAGACTGCGCGACCGCGATACTCGTGGGAACATATATGGATATTGAAAACGAAAATAAAATCACTCTCAAATCAGTCCCCAAGAGCAAAGCCTCCTCTGGAGGTAAACGCCCAGGGGAATCTTGCAGTGCGGGAGCGGACTCAGAAGCCCCAAAATACCGCATACAATATAGCGGAGCCGATAGGCGCTGTTATAATAAACAAATGCAAGCCGGGGGGAGTGGGGCCAATAAGGTCCTCTCTACCCTCGCAGCCTCCTGCTCAAAAGGTGGGGCTGGGGGTGGGCGGGCTTTGGGTGGCGCGGCAAAGCGGGCCAGGTCGGAACACGCTACTCCCAGCCCCTCAGAAAATTGCCAGGGCAAGAGACCCAAAAATGAAGGGTCATATGCACAGGCGACAAAAGGTTTTGTCAGAATGGCCCTCGTATTGGAAGGCTACCCTGACAAGAAAATAGGAGCCGGTGAGGTGGTTGAGATCAGAAAAATGGTCAGGTCTGTCATCCTCGGCATGTCTGAGAATGACAAAGCCCCCATTTTCACTGGTTCCTGGGAGAGGGATGGCGCACTCATGATTGTGTGCGCCAACATANAGTCGGCGGAGTGGCTTAAGGCCCATTCCTCCGATTTAAAAGTCAGGGGAACTCCTCTGTGTGTGCTGCCGGTTAGTGAGCTACCTAAGCGTCATCGGGTAGTAGTGCATGTGGAAAAGCCTGAAGTAGGGGTTGAGGATCCTTTAAAGCTCCTTAACCAGCAAATCACAGGGCTAGCAACTAGCGATTGGGTCGTCACCAGGAGGACGTATAGGAGGGATGCTACGAGCGCCCACTTCTCTTGTTTGGTTGGCGACTCGGCGATGGAAGCATTGAAGCACTGTGGCTCTACAGGCCTTTCTTCGGTCTCGGCCGGGCTACGGTTAGGATGACGGGACAAGAACGCTGAAAGGCGGAGAAGGAGATGGAATCGGAGGGTGTCGGGACTGCCTAAAAATGGTTTCTCTCGGCATCCAAATGTTCCAAATTAACTTGCATCACAGCAAGAGCGCCTCGGTTATCCTAGCCAGGAGCATGGCTGTGATGCATACAAGTATTGCACTAATCCAAGAACCATGGATTGTGAATGGTGCAGTAAAAGGACTGAGTGGGTGCGGTTGCTTATACAAAGCACACTCAGAAAATAGAGTAAGATCATGCATTTTGGTAAAAGAACTAAATGCTATCTTTCTGCCACAGCTCAGCAGCGAGGACCTTACAGTCATCAAGGTGAGAGTGAAGCTAGCCGAGGAAGAGGACATGGAAGTATTAATAGGGTCAGTTTATATGCCTTATGACTCCACGGATCCACCACCACATAAAAAGGTAAAAAACCTGGTGGCCTATGCGGAAGCCAGGGGGCTCGAACTCCTGCTGGGTTGCGATGCAAACTCCCACCATGTAGGATGGGGAAGCACAGACACCAACCTGCGGGAGGAGAGTCTCCACGACTACCTAATGGGCACAGGATTAACCATTCTCAACAGAGGAAACAAGCCGACATTCCTGGACTCCAGAAGACAGGAAGTCATCGATATAACGGTTTGTAAGAAGAGGGTGGCAAGTCTGGTGAACGACTGGAGGGTCTCGGATGAGCCTTCTGGCTCTGATCACAGACAAATACGCCTAACTCTCCAACAAATACAGCAAATCAGCTGGGTTCGCAACCCACAAAAAACCAACTGGGAGGGCTTTAGGGCCGACCTTAAGGTCCAGCTCGCTATGGTCACAACCAGTTTCAGAACCAAAAATAACTTGGAAAACGTGGCGGACTTTCTAAAGAACGCCATTACAAACGCCTTTGAATTAAACTGCTTACCAAAACTCAGGAATCCGTTGAACAAGATCCACTGGTAGAATAAAGAGTTCGGTAAGCTCAGATTGGAAACGAGAAAGAAATTCAGCAAGGCGAAAAGAACAGGACTTGCAGTACACTAGGAGGCCTTTAGAAGCTCCCAACGAGAGTACAGCAAAGAGATTAAGAAATCAAAGTGCAAAAGCTGGAGACGTTTCTGTGAAAGCATTGAGAGCGCCCCGGAGGCATCCAGGCTTCACAGAATCCTCAGTTTGGATCACCGTCCCCACTTAGACTGTCTCAAGCTCCCAACGGAGAATGTCACTGAGGAGGCAACGGACACATTGAAACATCTAATGGAAGTCCACTTCCCAGGTTTTGATCATAACATACAACCCTGCCGACCAAACCCTAGGGAATATAAACCCAGGGACTGGCGTCTGGCAGCTGAGGTTGTTTTTCCAAAGGGAGTTAAATGGGGTGTTAAGACCTTTTCTCCTTATAAATCACTTGGACCGGATGGAATCTACCCGGTTCTTCTTCAAGAGGGGCTGGCGGTTCTCATAGGTCCACTCACAAAAATCTTCAGGGCTAGCATAGCCCTAAGACACGTCCCCCAGGCTTGGAGTGGTACAAGAGTAGTCTTTATACCCAAGCCTGGTAGAAATGGCCATATAACAGCCAAAAACTTCAGACCGATCAGTATCACTTCCTTTGTACTGAAAACACTGGAGAGACTGGTCGATAAATATCTGAAAACCGGCCCTCTGTTAGTACATCCGCTGTCTCCGGCTCACTATGCCTACAGGGAGGGCAGATCAACAGATACTGCTCTGCACCATCTCGTGGGCGGAGTCGAAGTGCAGTTGGAAGCAAAGGGATATGCCCTGGGCGTCTTTCTGGACATTGAGGGAGCTTTCGATAGCACCTCATATGATGTCATCAGAGAAGCAATGACCGGGCATCACATTCTCGCTGCTCTAGCAGACTGGACACAAAGCATGCTAACAGGAAGAACCCTGATTGCCAATCATGGGGACTCAAGTGTGCATGGTTTCCCCGCTAAAGGATGCCCACAGGGAGGAGTTTTATCTCTCCTGCTCTAATGTCTGGTCGCGGATGAACTTCTACGAGAATTACAGAAGAAAGGCTTCCTCGTTTTTGGCTACGCTGATGACGTGGCTATTATAGTGCGAGGTAGTTTTCTTTAAACACTTAAAGAGACTATGCAGAAAGCCCTTAAGATCATGCAAGACTGGTGTCAATCAAAAGGACTTAGGGTTAATCCATTAAAGACCAAGGCCATGATTTTCACCAGTAAATACAAACCTGAAGCCATTGAGCCGCTTAGACTCTGGCGAGAAGATATAGAATACGTCCAGTCAGTAAAATATTTGGGAGTCCACTTAGACACCAAACTGAATTGGAAAACACATCTTGATATAAAGAGATCCAAATTCTACGCCTCATACTGGGCGTGTAGAAGAGCAATAGGAAAATCCTGGGGTATCAAACTAAATACTGCCCTATGGATATACAAAGCGGTACTTGTACCGAGGTTAACATATGCTGCTGTTGTTTGGTGGCCCAGAGTGGAAAAGATAGAGTCAAAGAACCTACTAAAAAGCCTACAAGGTAATTATTTGAGGGCTGCGGTAGGGACTATAAGAACGACACCAACAGAAACGCTGGAAGTGGCACTCTGCAGTCCACCTCTAAGATTGACTGTCATCAGCGTTGCCAAACTCACAGCATATAGACTAAGGTGTCAGGGGGAGTGGAGAGATTTTGGAGTAGGTCATACCAGGCTCAAATTTCTTCACAAACCTCCCTTTACCTTAAAGCAAGGTAGAATATCCAGAATGCCAAGTGGACAAGGCGTTCTCCATAAACTTGATCACCAGGGCGGACTGAAAAAACAAAAATCTTCAGATCCAGCCGGGCACTCATGCATGGTTTACTGATGGATTTGGAGCAAACGGCTGCTATGGAGCAGGCATCTACTGTCCAGGATCAAATCACAGAGAGTTTTTCTCTCTGGGTAAATTGGTCACGGTCTTTCAAGCGGAAGTCCTGGCCATTCTGGAATATGCAAGACTCTTACTCTCAAGAGAGACGAAAACTAGGAGGATCATTATCTATACGGATAGCAAAGCAGCCATAGAAGCTCTTGCCAAGACCACCACTGAATCTTCAGTGGTTTGGGACTGTATGCAAGCTCTAAACAGATTGGGCGAGCGAAACAACATCACGCTTGTCTGGGTACCTGGCCACCAAGATATCCAAGACAATGAAGTGAAGCTGATAGTCTGGCAAAACTGGGTACCTTAGAGGAACCAGTCTGACAGATAGTTGGAGTTCCCTTTGCAACAGGGAAAAACCACATCAAGGACTGGATAAAAAGGGAGCACAGGATCTTTTGGGAGATACTGAAGAGCTGCCGCCAAGCTAAGGCCCTGATGACTCAACCATTGCCAGGTAGGACCAAAGAACTACTGACAATGAGTAAGTACAGACAAAGACTGTGTATCGGTCTTCTCACAGGGCATTGGGCCTTCAAGGTACATTTATTCAACTTAGGCCTAGTTGAGGAGAGTAGCTGTAGATTTTGTGGCAAAGAGAGGGAGGACAGCGTGCACATATTGTGTCGCTGCCCGTCTTTAGCACTCAAGAGATTCAGATTTTTGGGCTCCATGTTTGTGGAGCCCGAGGACCTGAAAATAATTAAAATCGGCCATTTGTGTAGCCTGGCAGCAAATGCCGGGTTTTAGCAGCTTGGTCGATAAACAACTAGCGGGAGTCGCAGAGGATCTTAGAGATCTAGGTGACAATAGGGTCTCACAAGCCCCCCGCTCTTCGTTATCTATCTATCTATCTAATAATATAAATGTTTATTTACTTAATATTAATATAAAAAACTATGAAGAAATAATATGCAATGTTTCATAATCTGCAAAACTATGTTTTGATAATATATTTAGATATAAATCTTAAAAGATAAATGTATTTTCACAATAAAAACATTTTTTAGGTATATTTTTCCTTCTTCATTTATTTATTAAGTTTTATTTTTTGTAATATTTTATGTTTTTACTTTAACTAAAGTATATAAAACCTTTATTTTTATTATTAGTAACAGTTCTGTCCTGAAAGTGGTACTTTTGAAATGGGATATTGGTACAACGATTTTGGTTGTCCTAATACTGGTATATTTGCTTAACCTTTCTTTTTGTAAAAATTTATATTAAATAGTGATTAAAATTACTTTTATAAGATGATTGTTATATTTTTCAAGACAAATGATTGTTTTACTCATTTCTTCTGCTACATTTAAGCAATTTTAAATTAATGATTGGAAATGCTCGCCCTTGCGCGCAGCCAAATCTAGAACATTCGAGATGACTCTAGAACATTACTAAACAAGAAAAACTCTAGAATTTTCTGTGGCCGAAACATAGACATATAAGAAATAGACTGCGCGTCCCGTATCTTTTCTGTGCAGAAAGAATGGTCAAACTTCGGACGAGGATAGATGCTTTCACCCGAGTCTCTATCCTTGTTTAGTGACGCGGTGATTGGCGGACAAGAAAAGTAGTAGGAATGAAAAATAGCGTAGTGGGGCAACAGAGGAGCATCGAGCGATGAAGGAGCGACAGTAGGCGATTGACAGTCAATGAGTAGTTATGGTATAGGTTAATTTTAATCCGTTATTATTTGTTAAAAATCATGAGTATAAATTTGAAGAAATAATTGAGTGTAACAATTAAAGTTATTATAAAAAGAAGAAAGAAATAGAAGATGTAACAATAAAGAATATAAAATTCAATTTATAAATAATAAATAAATGTTATTGATTCTTATGTGTAATAAGTTTGGTAAATTTACTTCGTATGCGATCAGTCTTTACATTCCGTGAAGTAGCATAATGATGCAAACGAAGAATAAAAAATTTTTCTAATAAAAGTCGAATTACTTGACTTTTATGATCCATTAACGGAGCTTGATCAAAAGCATGTTCTGATTTAACAAATAGTTCATTAATTTTTAAATCATATAGCACCATTATTATATTTTTAAATTATACATTTGTGAAAAATAATAAATAATACAAAAAATAACAGAAATGTTACAGAATTGGTTTCTAACCAAAGCCGTTACGTAGAATCTGTTACGTAGCGTTATTTGAGTTGTCTCCTGAGTGGGGAGTCCCCACTCCAGGTGCTGAAAGACAGAGACAGAGACTCGGGTGAAAGCATCTGTCTCACTCCGAAGTTTGACTCACTTCCCCTCTCACACGCGCAGTCTATTTCTTATACGTCTATGGGCCGAAATCAGGCCCTATAAAACGTGTCCTCGAATCGAAGAGCAGTAAGTCAGATACAGTCAGTCAGCTACAGTCAGTCATATTGTAACAACAAGTTAGTCAAACTGCGCTAGTTATAAGTAACAAAGTATTTAGTGTGATTGTAATATTGTCAAGTATAACCACTTTGTAAATTGAGAAAATAAATCATTATTTTCAAATACCCAGCAGTGACAATTCTTACAATATAAATAAAGTCAGTAATATAAATATTACTGACAATTACACAAGAATATTATTAGGTATTACAAGAATTACTGAGAATATTGCTGGCAATTGCAGAAAATGCCAGTAATTCTTTTGTACCACTGCCGCAATATATTACTGCCAGTAGTTCTTTTTCGTAAGGAATGTACAAGTAATTTTAGAAATCTCATTATATAACTTTGATATACTAAAGCTGTGTTCCAAATTTACTACCAACGCTGCAGATATGTCGTCATGAAAGCTATCAACATCGTTCCAATTTTGCTAAGTATGCTATTAGCATAAATATAGGTTTTAAATTAGAATGTTTTAGTGAATTTTAATACTAACAGAGAAAGTAAACACGAAGCAGACATATAATCTAAAAATATGGAAAACAATACGTAAAAAGATAAATATTTGAAAATCATTAAAGAAATATGTGACTCTTGCTTTCTCAGCGTCTTCTGCTGATGTGGCTAGTTTGTATTTGATATTATTTTCCGCATCGATTAGCGTCAATTTTTCCATAGTAATTGTCATCTTTAATACTTTAGCTGCTTCACTTCTGTAGCCACAGCAGCCACAGCAGAAAGTGACGACAATGGTGGTAGCAGCAAATACTCCAGCAAGAGTCTGGAGAACTGACGTAGAAAAGAGTTTCGTGTAAACAGCCGTTGCACACGAGTCAGTCGATCCTAAGCCCCAGAAGAAATCCTAGCTATATCAATGAAGGTGTAAAAAAAAGAAAAAAGTAACGACAATGTTAATGACGTAATTGTGCTTTTACAGCACTGCCACAACATGCTATAATACATTTTAGAACAATGGTTGCAAGTGCTACCAACGTGGGAGTAAATTTGGAACATAGCCTAAGTATATAAATTCGCAAATCAACAAGAGAATTCTACGCATAAGGCAGGGTTGGGAAGTAACGCGTTACTTGTAACGACGTTACCGTTACAGTTACTTTTTTTTGGTAACGACTCCGTAACGACGTTATTTTTTTTATGTGTAACGAAAGCAGTAACAACGTTACATTTCTTCGGTAACGAGTAACAAAATGAGGCGTTACTTTATCGTTACTTTCAAATTTATAATATTTTTCTTACATAATGGCGTCTGCAGAAAAACGCATCAATGCGTTATGCGCAATGCCAGTCAACATTATGCTTTTGTAGAAAAGTAGCATATTGATTGGCTATCAAGTCGGTTCTAGCCTCGCGTAACACGTCCTGTCTACAGATGCCCATAAAACAGACGCTAATCGCAGATAACATTGAATTCCAAGAAA